CTCTCTCTCTCTCTCTCTCTCTCTCTCTCTCTCTGTTATAAGCAGCTTTCTATCTATATACAGCCAAAGAAGTGGAAGAAAGCCCGAGGGGGAGAGAGAGCCTTTTCTTTACATATACTGGAGCTGATAAAGATTTTATCTTTTGGTGTTTTGGTAAACGGTAAGAAATATTTTATCTTTCACTGCATTTTCTTGGAGTTAATGATCATGTTGGTCTATGTTTAGTTTGCTTGCTGCAACATAGTTTTGAGACATTATATACTCTGGGTTTTTTTGGGGTGCTTTTGTGCTCAATATGTGCATGCATGCGTTTGTGGGTTTAAGTCTGTCTTTTTAGTCTCACTCTGAAGAAATTTCCCAGTTTTTGTTTCAGACTCTCTGTTGATTTTTCTTCATTTCCTCTATGACGGTCAATGATGTCCTTTATCTTTTTGTAAGTTTTTTGTTCTTTGGCGGAGATCTTACATGGGTTTTTTGCCTCTTTGTGTTGTTATGCAAAATTAGCACTACCAAATAAGATCTTTACACTTGGGTAAAATCTTTCTTCTTGTTCCAACTGAGAACTTGGGTCATCTGGTTCTCTTTGTTCTTCATATTACAAAGTTCTGGAAATAAGATCTAACAGTTACATCATGCATAAACATATTCAATTTGCAATGGGGTTTCTCCAATATGTATGTTTTAGTTCTGGGAATCTTTAAAGTTAACAAAATATGGTTCTGATGTGTGGTTCATGTGGATCTTGCAGACTTCATTGGATGGTTATAAGCTGTGATCTGACACAGTTTCCTAGGACAGCCTGAGAAACGATGCCAAACCAGCTATGGTTTGCACTGCTAATGATTTGCAAGAGTGGAAAGATTTCCCCAAGGGCCTTAAAGTTCTTCTCCTTGATGAAGACAACAGTTCTGCGGCCGAGATAAAATCAAAGCTTGAGGCCATGGATTATATTGGTGAGAAATTTCTATCTTCCCTTTTTTTTTTTTTTTTTAATCATTTTTCTTCTCTTAAACAATCTTCTTTCCTGAACTAGAAATATTGGTTTCACCCTTTTCCCATTTCTTCATTAATTTTCCATGAGTATACTGGTACACCTTTTTTTCCCATTAAAGCATCTTATAATGATTCTCTATATAGATGGATTCTTGCTTCCGTTTGAATGTGGTTTTGGATTTTAGTCATATGGAGGTTAGAAAGGTACCTGACCATGGAAAAAGAATCAATTTCTTGCTCACTAAAGAAATAAATTAAAATCCCAATTTCATATTAATACTTTTGTGATCCAAATGTTGAAAAGTGGCTTTCAGTTTTTTTTTTTAAATTTTAAATTTAAAGGTAAACTTATGTTTTTCTCTGCACTAAAATTAGAAGTTGAATGCAGGGGAAAAACCAAAGTTATCCTGTTTAGATCTAACTAGCATAACTTTATATTGTTTTATCAGTATAATTTCCAAGTTTGTTTTCTATCTGTTTTGCATTCATGTATACACTCTCTTGGTAACATCATCATGTCTATTGCAGTTACTACGTTTTGCAATGAAACCGAAGCGTTATCAGCATTTTCAAGCAATCCTCAAAGTTTCCAAGTTGCAATTGTTGAGGTACTGAACTTAAATGTAGCTATAACTCAATTTTGTTATTTTCAGAGAAATCTGACATGCTTCTTCGGAGCATTGATTCTTGTTTGCTGGTTTGGAACATCCCAATGAAAAAAGAACCCACTCTGTTCTTTGGTGGAGCATTTTCTAGAAAATGTGTTCCCAGCTAAACCTGTTTCCTCTTATTCAGTATTTTAATACCATTGCGATGCTCAGTTCAGCAACTAGAACTTTTTGAACAATTCCCTTGATTCGTACAGTCTCAGAGTGCTTTAGCTGTCATTCCTGTAGCTGGATATATCCTAATAAGACTTATGGTCCCAGGTAAATGCAAGCAATGGCCATGGGGTTTTCCAATTTCTCGAAACTGCCAAGGACTTGCCAACCATTAGTAAGTTTATAAAGTAAACCTGAACCATTTTAAATTTGACAAAAAATTGTATTTTTTTCTTTTGCTTATTCATGATTTGTATTTGTTCCTGTTTTTAGTTCCTTTGATGATTTTGTCCGTTAACCATTTTATAAAAATATTTTGTGTTTTATTGTTTAGTATCTTTCTGAGTTTCGAATAACTTGTTAGATCATTAAGCATAACTAAGCATTAACGTCAATGATAACTTTGTTGCTTCTAATATATTACTTGATTTCTAATGTGAAGCTACCAAATCTTCTTTACAGTGACTTCAAACATTCATTGCCTGAACACCATGATGAAGTGTATAGCGGTAAGATATTTGCTCTAACCTCTTATTTAATTCAAAAGTGCAACAGCAACATGCTCTACTCTGTTTGGATTTCTGGTATATTTCCCCCATAGAGTTCATTTCAATAATAGTCAAACACCATGAACTTCTCCTTTTGAAATCTGCTGCCTGATCAAGGAGTGCTAATTTTGGTGATTTCGATTTAGGTCTACCATCTTATTGCTCAAATCATAACTGGAGATTCTACACTGCTTTTCCATTCAATCATATTTCATTCATATATTTGACAATCTATTTTCAGCTTGGTGCAGTTGAGTTCCTGCGGAAACCACTCTCGGAAGACAAACTTAGGAATATTTGGCAGCATGTTGTTCATAAGGTCTGTCCAGTATGGTAACGTTGTGTCAAGATCTACCACAAAGTTTTATGCAAATGCCGTAAGTAGAAATTTTCTGATTTTGTAAATCCTGAACAGGCATTCAATGCAGGAGGGAGTGCCATCTCTGAATCACTGAAGCCTGTCAAAGAATCTGTAGTATCCATACTGCAGATCAAACAGGAAACTGAAGAACAGAAATGTAAAATCTCAGTAGAAACAGAAAATGTTTCCAGGGTTCATGAAAGTGACCGTGAGCAGTCAGTAGGAAGTGATAAGTACCCAGCTCCCTCAACCCCACAGCTTAAACAGGGATCACGATTACTCGCTGATGGGGATTGCCAAGATCAAATTAACTGCTTATCAGAGAAAGAGAGTGGGGAGAATGACAGTGAATCTAAATCAGTCGAAACTACATGCAGCAATCCAATTGATGAAGGGACAGTTCAAATGAGTGAACCTCAAATGGCTCGGAAAACGGTGGTTAAAGAGGAAAATGACTCGGTTAAAGGCTCTCAGCACCCTCATAATAGAAACAGTGGCAATGATGTTGGTGGTGCTGCTGAAAATCTGAGTAAAGCATCTGCTCCCAATAATTCATGCAAGTCTAATCGGAAGAAGATGAAGGTAATTTGGATTTCAGAATCATGACAAATTGTTTGATCTCTTCCAATTGTTCCCCATACTGGTGCTGGCGACATCGGTTTTTTCTGTTCATGAGAAGCATTCGCATTTGGTTGCTTCTCAATTTTCCCCAGGCATGCATAATAAAAGGATGCATGCATGTGTACCCTAATCTTTTTTATATTCATCAAGTAAGGGTGCAAATTTTTACTGGACTCTTCTGATTATGAATATTCATAAGTTTAATCTATGATCACGAAGTTTGAGCTTGCCATTGACTTGAAAGAACAACTGCTTGATAAAACAACATTGCCTCTTAGTTTGATTATCAAAAAAATAAGATGCTCTGGTTTTGTCAGCTGTCCTTAAAAATGGAAACAACTAGTCCACTTAAAAGCATGTTGCAGGTTTAGTAGACTAGTAGTCCTCTCGGAAAATGATGTACTAATTTGTTTTCATCAGAAAGGATTATGAGTGCACATGATTGTTTTGACAATCTTATCGCATTTGGTTTTTTGTCTTTGGTTTCAGGTAGATTGGACGCCTGAACTGCACAAGAAATTTGTGCAGGCAGTGGAACAATTGGGTGTGGATCAAGCCATTCCTTCTCGAATACTAGAGCTGATGAAAGCTGAAGGTTTGACAAGGCATAATGTAGCAAGCCATCTCCAGGTGGGCATTTTATTCTTTTATAACAAATCAAGTTATCGTTTGCTTGATGATGGAACTATAATTGCTGGAACCTCTTAAGATGTTGTTGAGACTTGTTTTATGATAAACCTATTGCATTGCATAACAACTCTTTTTATACTAAATTTGTTGATTACTGAGACATAAAAAAAGAGAATCAGTAAGAAGCTGTCTTTGTTGCTGCTCTCCTTAGTAAATAGAAGCATGTGTATCCCCATAGTTGCTAATGATCTAAAGCCTTATCCTATACAGTTCGCATAACTGAGATAAAATTTGTTTCGAGAACTTTTTCTACCAAGCATTTTTATTGTTTGAAATCCTATGATCTCAGTTAAGTTAATCCTCTTTTCTGAGTGTCCGTCTTGGTATTGATCAGTGCCAACAAGTTTATCATCCCCCATCCCAATTCTGACCTAATGAGGTGATTGACTATTGTTATCATGCAGAAATATCGCATGCATAAGAGACACATCTTACCCAAGGAAGACGACCGGAGATTGCCACATCCTAGAGATCCAATTCAAAGGAGTTATTATCCTCAGAATCAGAAGCCTATCATGGCCTTTCCCCCATATCATTATAATAATTCCTTATCCATGGCACCAGTCTATCCTATGTGGGGACAACCTGGCAGTCAACCAGCTGGTGTCCAGATGTGGGGTTCACCTGGCTATCCCCAGTGGCAACCATCAGAAAGTTGGCATTGGAAGCCTTATCAAGGGGTAAGTTTGTCATCTTTCCCAAGTATATATATGAATGGTGGCATTAGCATTATTCATTGAGGACTTCCTTTGTATTTGCCCCATTTTAATGTTACAGATGCAAGCTGATGCATGGGGTTGTCCTGTAATGCCACCTCTGCAAGGTGGTTATCCCTCTTATCCTCAAGTGAGTATGCCAATGAAAACTTCTACATTTTGTTTATGCATTGGTCATTTAATTTGTTGATTGTTCTTTCAACCACGCATGCATGTTAGGCATGCATCTTAACCCTATCTTCTTTCACACTCTTTGTTTCTAAATTGCAGCATGCAGCAGGTTTTCACGCCGGTGTAGTTGATAATGGGTGCAGCATGCAACATAATTCGTTTGACCTTCATCCGGTAACACCAGAAACCCTTTATGTACATTGTTCTAAATTTAGACATTGAATTTCATTTTGTATTGCAATGTGAAAACCTTGAATTTCAAGCTAGTGCCAGTCGTTTTCATTTGAGTCAATTTCGACGTCCAATTAGATTTGCATTAATTGCTTATCCAATTGATTATGTATATGACAAGGCGGAAAGTATGGCAAAACAAACTAAACGGCAATGAAAAGTCATTCATGTATCAATGCGATTGAATGACATTGGATAGGATCAATTTGCTACTTGAAGTAGACAAGTCATGAAATTTGATCTCTTTTGCTATCTGTCTTTTGCAGGCAGAAGAGGTAGTTGACAAGGTTGTGAAGGAGGCAATAAGCAAGCCATGGCTACCCCTTCCTTTGGGCCTTAAGCCTCCTTCCACTGAAGGTGTACTAGATGAGCTATCAAGGCAAGGCATCTGCAACATCCCTCCGCACATCAACATCAAGGCAAGGCATCTGCAACATCCCTCCGCACATCAACCGCTCTAGCACCCGCTGACGTGGACCGGGTCCCATAACGATCACAAGGCTAGTATGGTCCTCAGGCAATAAAGTCTCCATAATGTTTGTCAAATATTGCATGTGTTAAGACACTTGATTGGTGAGGACCAGCTGTCTATTGTGGTCTCGGAGCTACCAGATCTTCATGTGCTTGCTGCCCATCATCCCAACTCAAAAACCACTAGTCAAGAAACTCTAGTCAGATGTAGGCACATTGAAATAAGCAAACTTTGATCATATTCTCCACAGTGAACAAAAAAAGTCAAAAAGTCATTTTCAGACTTTTGACAATTGGATTGGGATGGCCAAGGATTAGCCACGTTTGTGAATCAGCCTCATGTGAAAATTCTGATTGTAAATAGTTCCAAACACAAAAAGTCCTACTGGGGTTTGTAACTTTTTATCTGATAGAGGGTCTTGTGAAGTTGTGATCCTTTGTGAGGTCCCTTTTGGTGCTGTTGGGTGGGTCCTACTTGTATTGCTGTTTAAATGGAAAGGACAACAATGTCTACACTGACATGAGCTTAGTGGGAAGCTGACTTGTGGTTTATCTATAACATTATTGCGTATGAGTGTTAGGCGAGTCGGCCAACGCAGTGAGCTTGTCCTTTGCACTCAAGTTACTATTCTCCTCCGTAAATTGGATTAATTTAGAGTCATTTAGGCTATCACTTGTATAAATAAAAAACATTATTAAAGAAAATAGAAGAGATGAGAGAATTAGAAACATTATTAACGATGTGGTTGCAAGTTGGTAGTTCCTTGTCCTGCATCTTGCAAGTATTGTAAAGAAAATTTGAAGGGCAAGGCTGAAAATAAGTAGGAGTGTTTCAAGGATAGAAACTAAAGGTTTATTTTGTCAAAATAGAAGCATTATCACCATGAACCATCAAGAAAGAAATGGAAGTGGCCTTCAATTTTTTCTCGTAATGGGCTCAGTTCACGTCATTTTCTGTCTGGGCTCAACATGGCTAGACCACAGTGCATATATGTCGACAAAGAAAAAAGACTTTTTAGGAGCTATGGTCCCTGATCTTTGTATCGACTTGAACTTTAGTCCCCCAACTTTCAAAATGGAACTTTCTATACCTTAATTCACATGTTATGAATCTAGCGTCAAAAACCAAAGGTTAGATGGCTAGACTTGTGGAAGAGATGAGGGTGAGGATTTGTAACTCTAGGATTATAGTATTTCATGTCAAAATGACTCTTAAGCATAATTTGTTGAGCCCACTACTTTTTTTCGATTTAAAAGATTTTTAAAATTTTTTTATATTGAAAAATACCTTAACTTATTGATTCAATAACAGGAAAAACACAAGACAGGTATCATAAAAAATCAGAAAATGCTCAGGTATACAATTCAAGAGATAATATACTGACAATTGCACTATGTCAGACACCTTCTTTGGCCGCAAATGATTAAATCCCCAAATAAGGCATGGGTTGATAACATTTTGTTTTCCATCAAATTTTACGATTTTCATATTGGTCTTCACGACTTTGTTTGATATATCCCCTACTTGAAACTTGTATACCCTCTAAAATTTAATACTTTCACTTGATAGAAAAATTTGTGTGAAATGGGGATAGTATTGTTTTACTATCCCAGATCAATCACAATATTCTAAGTGGAAAAGTTATTAAGCATTGCATACCGTAATTGGCCCGGTATAGTAAAACAATGTTATTCCCATTTTACACAAGTGTTTCTCCTCAACTCCATGGTAGATATCAATAGGGTACTCTCTCAAGGTAGTCATGAGCCATCATGATCTCCAATGTCATCATCATTCATAGTTGCCTCGCTATTCGCAGTGGGGGATTTCACATGTGAAGGGAGAGGAGTTCGTGTGTTTAGAAGTTGCTGTGGTGTAAATAATATGGTAGGTAGACATTTTGGGTAATTTTGGTGGGTATTTTCAATTCATTCATGAACTTAAAAGTACGTGGTTTTTTATTTTCTTTTTTATAAAGCAAGGAGTTGCCTTTCAATAGATTGAAATATAGTTCCCCAAACATGAATCACACAAAAAATTGTAATGTTTTATTTTTCTGACATTGAAAAGAAAGAGTAATTCATATGGACTTAAAATTGGTTAACACAATTACGACACACAAATATTTGAAGAACCAACCAACTGGTTCTTCTATATGATATCACAAAACATCCCAAGTTGGAATCCACTTCTTTAATAAAACGAAAAAAAAAAGACACCAGTAGTAGCACACAAACGTACACAGAAATTAAACTGACGCTGATTGAGTAGTAGTACACAGAAATTAAGGGGCCGATTATTAGGAACTCAAGGATATCTGTGGCAAGCCCTATTGAGTTGATCCGTGCAGTGCTCTTGAATGGGTGTTTTGTTTGGCACGCCCTTGCAGCTTTCTGGATGATCCGGTCGGTTACAGGCCAGAGATTTCGCTGGATTTAACGCCCCCTTAGAAGGATGAGGTTTATTTGTCTGGAGGAGCCTTACGCTGAATTCCGAGTCCAGCATGAACTCCAAGTCAAAGTCCAACTCAGAGTGTGCAAAACGGCACGCCGGGTCGGTGAGGCCGTTGCACCGGGAGGCAGCGTAGCCGCTGGTGATGACGCTGGTGTTGATGGGGATGCCAATGCCATGGCTTGTGGTGAGCAGGGTCATGGTCATCATCACCATCATCAGCTTCATAGCTCCTCCTGAGTGACTCATCTTTTTTTCTTTTTCTGCTGCATGCACTCATCAAAGCACTGTGTATATATATATATAGTATAGTATAGAAAAAGTACTTTGGCTCTCTACTGTTCTTAGATACACGTATAAACCACAGCTAGCCCCTCCATAAACTTTTCTTTTTGCGCTATTATTGACTCCTTAAAGCATCTTCAGGAGAGTCTCCAAATTTTAACCAAATTTTAGCTAAAATAGCTAGAAAGTCATTATAACAAACTACTTTAAAAGTAGTTTCCTCCAGCAATGTTCTCTACTTTGGTTAATCTCTAATATTTTATTATTTCTCTCTCATCCTCTCTAAATTAAAAGTTCATTAAAAAAATCAAAAAGTAAGAGGTGAGAAAGGGTGGTGTGACTAGGCAGAGAAAAGAGGAAGAAATCGAGAATCCTAAAGTTTTATTTTGTCAAAATAAAAGCATTATCACCATGAACCATCAAGAAAGAAATGGAAGTGAGAAATGAGAGTGGCCTTCAATTTTTTTCTCGTAATGGGCTCAGTTCACGTCACTTTCTACCTGGGCTCAACTTGGCTGGACCACAGAATATATATATATAGACAAAAAAACAAAAACAAAAAACTTTTTAGAACCTATGGTCCTGAACTTTGTATCGACTTGAGAAAGTCCCTCAACTTTCAAAATGGAACTTTCTATACCTTAATTCACATGTTCTGAATCTAGCGTAAAAAACCAAAGGTTAGATGGCTAGACTTGTGGAAGAGATGAGGGTAAGGATTTGTAACTTTAGGATTATAGTATTTCATATCAAAATGACTCTTAAGCATAATTTGTTGAGCCCCACTATTTTCGATTTAAAAAGATTTGTATTTTATTTTTGAAAAAAAATACCTTAACTTGATTCAATAACAGGAAAAAACACAAGAGAGGTATCATAAAAAGTCAGAAAATGCTCAGGTATACAATTCAAGAGATAATATACTGACAATTGCACTTATCTTTTTTATATTGTATGATGGCAGACACCTTCTTTGGCCGCACATGATTATATCCCCAAATAAGGCATGGGTTGATCACAATTTGTTTTCCATCAAATTTTACGATTTTCATATTGGTCTTCACGACTTGTTGGATATCCCCTACTTGAAACTTGTATACACTCGCGGACTTAGGAATTTTTCGGCGGAGGTGCAATTTTAATAGGCTAAAAGCTTTAAAAAAAATTGACAACCAAAAATTGATGAAGAAGAAACAAAAAGTGCAGCATGTTTCATCTTCTTTTTTCTTTTTTTCTAGATTAACTATGAATTACATTCGAACATACTTTGAAAACTTGATCGATACAATATTTTCTTTCCTGGCACAAGACTTGATCGATGAATCCGTTTTTATGGCACAAGACTTGATCGATGAATCCGTTTTTATGGCACAAGACTTGATTGATGAATCCGTTTTTATAGAAGACTTGGAGTTCCCTACAAAAAGAAAACAACAATAATGGTTTTGATATTGGCCAAGGACTGAATAAAAAAATAATTAAAAAAACTTATCATTTAAAAAAATAAAATAAAAAAAATAAAAAGAGGAAAGGAACCATACCTAAAATTGCTGAAATTCAAATTTTAAAGCAAAAGCAAGGACTCCATCTCCGTTGAAATTCATTTTAGGATTTGGGATGGGGCATCTTGCATGATTAAAAGCAAATTGAGATTTGCTGCATATCAGTGATATCACATTGCACGGCTTCTTCAAATTGGATTGGGAGGCTTCCGTTCCGTGTCGGCAGTTTGCAATTTTTTTTTTTGGTCGCCTGGCCCAAAACAACGTCATTTTGGTCAGGACTTTTAAAACCAAAAAAAAGGGCGCTACACGCAACCCAACAGCGCAGCAACACAGCCAGCGAAAGAAGAATATTGTTTAGGCATTTGATCTAGCAGTTGGTGGGCACCATAGCAGAGGGGCAACTCTGGCACCTCCAAAGCTTTTTCCGATGAGGGGAGGTGCAGCACCTCCTTGCGCCTTTGTGGGTCTGCCACTGTTTGTATATCATCTAAAATTTAATATTTAGTAAATTTGGGTTTTCCCCTTTAAATTCATTTTTCCTTACCTACAACCCATCCTTTTATTTTTCTATAAATTAAACCCAATTTCTATAAGTAAAACTCGATGACTATGATCCACCTAAGCAAGTTACCTAATGAAGCTTAACATATTAAATGTTATATTTTTTCAATTCCTAAATTACCCTAATTGCATTTTAACTTTTACCTAATCAAGCTTAACATATTAAATGTTATATTTTTTCAATTCCTAAATTACCCTAATTGCATTTTAACTTTTTTTTTTCCCAAAAATTGTTTGCTATTCAATGTCATAATGGTGTTTCAATTTTGCATAAGTTTTGTGGGTCAATTTTATTTATTTATTTTATATATAATTAAAACTTGGTGTGTAATTAGTGTCGTATGTTTTTGAAATTGATTGGTTCTAATATACGTATTATGTTTTTTTTTTTTAGTATTTTGTAAATGAAATATATAATTAAAATTTGGTCTGTTTTTCCAAATCCGATAACCTGATCATATTTTGTTTCAATTTCATATTAATTGGTTAGTTATTTCCTTTTATTTATATCAAAATTTCAAATTTAATAATTGTTGGATTTTGTAGGGGTCTTTTTGTTCCAGCAGCCAGACGAATGGGCTTGGGCTGCCGTAAGAAGAAAACGAACAGAAATTCCCCAAGTATCTGAGTTCAGAAACCAAGCTCCTAAAAGAGTTTTTGAAAGGTTTGATGA